ACCTGGCCGCATTTGGAGAATGCATGGGCACTCTGGATAGCTGGTGAATATGTAGGTATTATGTAGAGTCACATATTTTTATGTCCAAAAGCATCCTAGCAATGTGAATTAGGGGCTTCTCACATTGGCTTAGAAAAGGTGTTGAAGGGAAGAATCTTGATACTAAGTGTGTTCACTTCATTTATTTGTTTCCCCCAAGAAGCTGAATCCCCCGGAGGAAGTTGACTGTGGATAATCCTGTACCTCTTCTAGCTGTAAGAAATGAAAGTATAGAAAAGTGAATTGGATTTTTCTGAAAGCTTCTGGCACGAGTGTTCAGGTGTCTATTTCCAGGCATCATCCTGAAATAATCTGGTCGCATATTTTGTGGCCATTATCAGATTTTGCTTTCTGCTCATGGGTGTCATAAGAAAAAAAAACATTATGAATACTTAGAGTCTTGCTCTAAACCCAAAGAAGGGAAAGAGTAAAGAAATGAGATAACTTATGTTTGGAAATACCTTTTTCCTCAGAAGTATTTTTTTCTTCAGAATGTGTGAAAATATGTTATTAGCCTGTTTAGTAGTTTTTATTCTAGTACATTAAGATCCTTTAACAAAACACTGAGAAGAAACATTTGATATAATTCTTCACAGGTATATTACAGAGGTGGCTTTTCTGTTTATGGTGGTTTGGATCTAAAAAAAAAAAAAAAAAAAAAAGCCTAACTTTATTTACCTTCATCAGATGTTGACTTTGCAGAGCATAGAGAATACAGCACCAGCCATGCAGAAAGTACCTGTTTGTCACTGGGAGAATTCAAACACAAACTGGAACCAATGGCCCATTAAATACCTTCTCTTGTTGTTTAAAGCATATCACAGCTTTGTGAAGTAATTGTTAATGCAAAATACTGTAACTGAGCCAAAGAATCAAATTCCTTTAACTCTAGTCAGACTAGTGGCTGAGTCAGGTACTCTCAGTTGTGTTCCATTGTTTCATGATTAGGCACTCTCAGAAAGCCTTGCGTAGAATGTAATTAGGAGTAAGGAAATCAAGAAATAGCATAATTTGCCTTTTGGTGTGTGTGTATGTATGTGTATGTGAGTGAGTGATTTTCTACTCACAGTAGCATTATAATGCTTCCTGGGACATAAAACTTTGTTTTAGAAAAGAGTTACTTGCCAAAATATTCACAAATGCTTTCCATAAAAAAAGTATTTCCTTCCTTTCCATTTTTTTTGCTGTAATAAAATGGCAGCTTTTTAAAAAAATATATACTGCATTTAATAAAGGAAAAGAAAGACATCCTAATAATATTGATACAGTAGGACAATATGCACATCATAGGCTAAAAGTCCCATTGGGAGATGTAATTCACTATGAGATACAGTAATTTTTAATTTCCTCTTTAAAAGATAGAGATAAATTTTAATTTGGGAGGTACTTATATATAAAATTTTCAAGAGTAGCTTTAGAAACCAGTTAAGAAGGATTTTTGTCTTAAGGGTTTGTATGCCTGATGTGAGGTGGTTATAAATATTCTAAATTCTTTTTTTTTTCCTTTAGTTTTTACTTCTGTATTAATAGTGCTTTGTGTGGAAAAAAAGTTTCAGCAAATGTTCCCTTTCTTCTCCCTTTTTGTTTTCTACACTAAGATACACGCAGTCTTTCAAATGTTTACTTGCCTGAATAGCCCAAATCTAGCAAACATTACTGTTGTTAGTAGGTACAATTATAGAGGGGCACCTGGGTGGCTCAGTCAGACTCTTGATTTTGGCTCAGGTCATGATCTCAGGGTTGTGTGATCCAGCTCTGTGTGGGGAAATCTGTGCTCAGTGAGGAGTTCGCTTGAGATTCTCTCTTTTCCCTCTCCCTTTCCCTTCCCCATGTTCATGTTCTTTCTCTGGAAAATAAATAAATAAATATGTTTTTTAAAGGTACAACTATAGATACCTTGAACCATTGTAGACTGAAGAGACCATGCAAATATGATAGTATTTTACTGGTTCTTTTCATAAAAGAGAAACTGTTGGGATGAAATAGAGCTTGAAGAAGAGGCTGTATATGTTTGTTGGAATGCGGATGCTGGGGAATGACAAATTTTGGAGGAAGTGTGCTTGTATAAGAATAGGCATGAGGTAGTAGACACTTCAGTAGTACCTAACAAACATACAAATAGACAAAAGCTTTGAACCTATGGGTGTTTGTATGGTTAAGGACAATGACAACATAGTTAATGTAATCCCTAACATTAAAAATAACAATATAAATGGTAAATGAAAATTATCCTTTTCGCAAATAATTTTACCTTCCAAATTTCTTAGTGGAGGATTTTGACAGTCTAAGTAGTAATGTTTTAAACTATCCCTTGGGACTTCCCCCTTCTACTTCTTAACCACCTCGGAGAATGCCAAGGACTAAATATTTTTATATAGCAGATAACAGGAAGGAAATAATTACAAGAAGAGCTAATATTTAATGAGGACTTATTCTATGCCGCCACTGTTATCATTTTAGGTAAACCCCACTTAACCCTCAGAACAAGCTTATGAGGTAGAGGTTATTATCATTTTATATATTTGTACATAGATGTACATATTTTAAATAGATAATAGTCCAAATGAATATTTAAAAAATAGATTTATGTAATTATAGATGGTGAGATGATACAAAGGATACATAAGGCTTACTTAGCCAAACAGATATACCCGGGCTGAATCGCGATTTGAGCCATGGCAGTTTGTTGCCGTAGCGTATTCTTTTAACTACTGCACTAGATTGCCCCGGAGTTGAATACTTGGATTCCCAAAGACATGATGATTGATTAAACTATAAGGGTTGATATATACAGCGTCTCTGTTTTGGAGGCAGTTGATATAATGGTTAAGCACTACACCAATCTTAAAATCCCATATTCTGATCCCTCCTATAACTTTCACAAATTATGTGAATTTGATCAAGTTACCGATCTTGTAACTTTTGCAAAGTGGTAGTAGACACTTACAGGCCCAGATCTCTTTGATTTATTTAGCTATAGAGTTATAGTTATCAAGGGGTAGAAAATGCAGTGGTACCAGGGAAGCAGGTAGCTGAAATGTCAGGATTATGCTGGCAAAATCTACTCAATTCAGTTTTGGATAGCTTCATCCCAGTTCTGGCTGGCTTTAACAAAGGGTATGGAGGCGACTGGTGGGAATTACCTCAGACCCCTTAATCTAAGTATATATAAATATTCTAATTCCTATTATCACCTATTGATAGTTCAGCTCATAATGATTTTCAAAGCTATTGGTGCTATCATTTTCATAATGACATTAATTCCATGAATTTCTAGAGGACTGTCAGTGCATCTTTGGTCAAATCATCTGAGAGGTGCCTGGGTGGCTCAAACAGTTGAGTGTCTGACTTTTGATTTTGGCTCGAGTCATGATCTTGGGGTCATGATATCAAGCCTGTTGCTGGGGTGTGTGCTGGGCATGGAGTGTACTGGAGATTTTCTTTCTCCCTCTCCCTCCCCCACAACCCCAGCTCAGGGGTGCTCTCCCTCTCTTTCTCTCAAAAAACAAAAAAACAAAAATGCCGAAAACATCTGGGGGAAAAGAAAAAAAAAAGAAGCAAAGCATTTTTAGCACAATGACACTTTCAAAACTAAAATATTAATAAATGACCACCAAAATGCACCAAAGAATTAATTACATAATGAGAGGTATTATAAATGCAAAAGAAACAGTGGTGATAGGGAACCTCGTTTATTCTGACATGGGACATTTACTCTTTGTCATATATACTCACACTTCCTTAGGAACACAGAATTAAAAAAAAAAAAAACCTTGCCAAACATGTTGTGACATGAAATCTTGAACATAAGTACGAGTTGTTAGTAAACTTGGCACTTAAATTTGCATTATAATTTCTCCATGTTATGATGATTCAGAAGCATCCTTCATGGAATCCTAAAGGACAGGGTTTTAGAAATTATCTTCTTCAGTCCTATCATTTATACCTTAGGAAACAAGCTTAAGGAGAGTGAGTTTCAGGGGTGCCTGGGTGGCTCAGTGGGTTAAGCCTCTGCCTTTCGCTCAGGTCTTGATCTCAGCGTCCTGGGACTGAGCCCTACATCAGGCTCTCTGGTCAGTGGGGAGCCTGCTTCCCCCCTTCTCTGCCTGTCTCTCTGCCTACTTGTGATCTCTGTTTGTCAAATAAATAAATAAAACCTTTAAAAAAGAAAGAGAGAGTGAGTTTTATTCTCTATATTACCCATCTTTTAAAAAACAAAACCTAGACTGGGTCTTCTGCAAGAGATGATAAAATAATAGATATATGTATTTATGGCAGAAACTTCATTGTAGGTGAAGTACCATTGGATATCTTGTATCATTCACTTATTTATAGCAAACATTTATTGAGCTCCTATTACATATGGTGGCAGGAATTGAGAATACAAAACTCAGTCCTTCTTCTCAATTAACTTACAGTATGTATTTAATAACAAAAAAAATCCTGTTCATCTTAGGAGCACTGCTAGGAAATCTCAGTATTTCAATTTATCACTCTCCCAAATCCTGAAAGGGAATTATTAGAATTCTCATTTTCACAGATGAAAAAAACAGCTTTGGAGAAGTTGTGTTAAACTGCTCAGCATTGCCACACTAGGTCAGTGCCAGCCTTGGAAGTAAGCCCTGTTCAGCCTGGAGCCAAGGTCTGTGCTTTTCTCCAGCAATCCACAGTATGATTTACTTTGATCACAATCACACGCAACCCCCTTTCAGCCACCTATGACAGCATGACAGGTCTATTTTTGAATGCTCAACCCAGTGATTATGTAGGGAAGCGCATTCTCGAGTTATAGAGAAGAACTGGTGAAAAGAGATCATCCAGGTGTGAAATGGGAGTACAGAGCTTGTTGTTTTTTTGGTTTATTCCTGCTCAATTGTGTGTGCACCAATGTTCATTAAGGTATTTTAAGTGTCTTCATTGGGCTATAATAACATAGATTTCTCTCTCTCTCTCTCTTTCAGGTATGGAAAAATTGTATCCACAAAGGCAATTCTGGACAAAAACACAAATCAGTGCAAAGGTATGTGTAAGGGTGTCTGTACCATGGATTCTTGTGTAGGCTGTTGGATCGATGGCACCTCCAAGGCAGAGATCCAGGCATCAGCTGCACAGTGATCACAATGTACAGTATATGGCAAACCTCTTTAATAATGCTGAAGCTTTGATGAGTTGTATTTCTAGTAACATTGTTCATTAATTTTTTTCATTAACAAACAAAATGAAAATCACAAATCAGAACAAGTATCAAATTGCTTCAGCGTAAAACTAAATTACCTCTTAACAACTTTGGGTTGTCTGATTTGAATGATATCATCAGTGATGCAAATTGATTTCCTATATAAAAAATGAGGAACTCTGGGGAAAACTTCCCCATGCAAAGCACGTTTTAATTTATCTGTTCTTTAAAGCTTTCGCAACATTGGTTGACTAGGAATGAGTTTACGGATGGGCCCATTGTGTCTAAACTTCTGCTGTCAGCCTCCCTCGGGATCTGAGTGGTATCTTATTAAGGCTTTTTTGTTTGCTTGTTTCCCCCTGGAAACATTTCTGAAGTTATTTGACTCTATCTGTGACTTGTGTTTCTTCATGTCTGGGAATCCCATACTCTTTCAAGGTTTGCAGTATATATTATTTGTGAAATCTGTATGATCTCCCTTGCATGACTCAGTTCTTACTAGAAAATTGGAATGCTTCTTGTGACATATGTTATTTGTTGTTCCTGTAATCCAGCCTTTTTTGTAATACTGTCATCAAGAAATATGGAGAGCCAAGATCATTCTAAATACTGCCCCTATTTCACATACAGATGTAATGTGCATATGTTTTATGAATAGACACTCATATACTAAAAATATATCCTAGCCTACTTGGGTAATGATTAGATCTATTCATCAATTTAAAAAAAAAGCATTTTAGTGTCCTAAAAACTCACAAATGTATTAGGTATTTAGGTACTATAAGACAAAAACTAATAAGACAGGTTCCTGTCATCTAATAGTTCAGTTTGAAAAGGAAACGAACAAGAAAATCAAGGAACTAATCCTAACATGCTTACTAGAATCAGTGTTATTGGCCCAATACATGTGAAAGTGTAACAGAGGTATCCATAATAGACATACACACCAAATACTGTGAGAGGAGAATATAGAGATTTCTTTTGGGGAAATGAAGTTGATAAAGGCAAGTCAGAATGGATGAGCTTGGGAAAGGTCTGGGAGAAAGAATTTTAGTATGTAATTGAGCAGACCCACATAGAATAGAAGAGACTCCTAACACTCCAGTCCACATTTTCTTGTAATTGCTTATTTAATTCTCTCTCTCTCTCTCCCCAAAGAGCCTTAAACTCAATTAAGATAGGACCTGTATAACCTAGAAAGCTTATCTTCAAAGGGATGTGTTGCAGGGGAATGTTTGGCTATCTGCTGGGAATGCTGGCAGAAAATATTAGAAAATATCTCTCTTTGTTTTTATATCAACCTCCTGTGTGTGGTTTAGAACATATTAGGATAATTTTACAAATGCATATGTTTTAAATATATAAATGAATTATCGGTTTGCTGATACAACATATTTTTACTCATTATAATATGGATTTAAAAAATGGTTTGGAGGGGCACCTGGGTGGCTCAGTGGGTTAAAGCCTCTGCCTTCAGCTCAGGTCATGATCCCAGAGTCCTGGGATCGAGCCCCGCGTCGGGCTCTCTGCTCCGCAGGGAGCCTGCTTCCTCCTCTCTCTCTCTCTCTCTCTGCCTGCCTCTCTGCCTGCTTGTGATCTCTGTCTGTCAAATAAATAAATAAAATCTTTACAAAAAAAAAATGGTTTGGAGACTACTAGTCTCATAATAAGCACCAATAAATACAGAAGGAGATGGAGGGAGGGAATGATAGACAAAGGGAGAGAAAGGAAGGGAGGAAGAGAGGGACCATGGAACCTCCTAGGGAAATCATTTAACCCACTGAGCCACCCAGGTGCCCAATCCTAGGGAAATCATTTAATAAAAGGGCAACTAAAGATGACATTAAGGGCAGGCAGAGGGCTATTAGGCCTTTTGCCCTGAGGGCACTGTGAAGAAGGTGGAGTGAACATGTTGTCATTATACATACACAAATAAAAGCCTCCAGTTGCCTTTTCAGCATTTGGAGCCTGTGGATTATCAATAGTGATTCTGATTCATAATCTTCCTCAAGTACATGGAGTTGGGTCTCCTAAAAATAAGCACTCATGATCAGAACGGTATTATTGTCACTTTCATGTTGAGGGAAGTATTATTTTAACGGCATTCTGAATCTTATTTAGAGTATTCCTTTCAGAAAAATGGCCCTTGAAATGACTACCTTAGAAACAACATGCAGTTGGGAAGAGGCAACAATTATACTTATAAAAATTGTTTATAGCTGTCAATGATAACCATGGGAGTGCATTTCTAAGGTTAGAAGGAAGGTGTGACATCATCGAGGCATTCAACGAACTGATGAAACAAGACATTGAAACGCTTATCTAAGTCTTTATTGAAATAGCCAAGAATTGAAGCAGTAATAGTGTTGGGGAAGGTAACTGATCCAGAAGGTATTTGTGGAGCGCTAAGAGTGATCATATCTGGGGATTCTATAGACAATAATGAAAATGAAGAGTCACTAGTTATAAGATTTTAATGATGGAAGATTCTGAATTGGAGATTTTAGGTAAGAGTGAAGCCAAATGGACTTAGAAGCAGGGAGGACTCACCACGTACAGGTCCATTGGGAGAAGAGATGTGAGAAAGGAAAAACAAGAAACAAAACCAACAAACACTTGAGAAGGCTACAAAGGAGCAGTGCCTTCAGGGTGAGTCAAGAAACAATCGGAAACATGCAAATTAAAGTAATTTGCAGTGATAATTTATATCCACTCGGGTAGCAACCATTATTTCATGCGGGTCATCCAGTGCTGTTTCCTGTCCCCATCTGGTCACCCGTCTTTGTTGGTATCATCCTAAATTGGCAGAGGCTTTTTAAAAAGTCAGTTTGGAAAGAGCAATAAAGGGCATTTTTTAAAATTAATTTTACTTTATTTTTTTATTTTTTTTATTTTTTATAAACATATAATATATTTTTATCCCCAGGGGTACAGGTCTGTGAAATTAACACTTATGGTGACTCGTAGTCTCACAAAACAAACTGAGGGTTGCTGGGGGGAGGGGGGTTGGGAGAGGGGGGTGGGGTTATGGACATTGGGGAGGATATGTGCTGGGGTGAGTGCTATGAAGTGTGTAAACCTGGCGATTCACAGACCTGTACCCCTGGGGATAAAAATATATTATATGTTTATAAAAAATTAAAATTAAAATAAAATAAGTAAAAATTAATAAAACAAGCAAACAATAAAAAGAGTCACTTATGGTTTGTCTCCCTCCCAATTCCATCTTGTTTCATTCATTCTTCTCCTACCCCCTTAACCCCCCATGTTGCATCTCCTCTCCCTCATATCAGGGAGATCATATGATAGTTGTCTTTCTCCGATTGACTTATTTTGCTAAGCAAGATACCCTCTAGTTCCATCCATGTCATCACAAATGGCAAGATTTCATTTCTTTTGATGGCTGCATAGTATTCCATTGTGTATATATACCACATCTTTATCCATTCATCTGTTGATGGACATCTAGGTTCTTTCCATAGTTTGGCTATTGTAGACATTGCTGCTATGAACATTCGGCTGCATGTGCCCCTTTGGATCACTACGTTTGTATCTTTAGGGTAAATACCCAGCAGTGCAATTGCTGGGTCTTAGGGTAGTTCTATTTTCAACATTTTGAGGAACCTCCATGCTGTTTTCCAGAGTGGTTACACCAGCTTGCATTCCCACCAACAGTGTAGGAGGGTTCCCCTTTCTCCGCATCCTCGCCAGCATCTGTCATTTCTAAAGGGCATTTTTTAAAAAAGATTTTATTTATTTATTTGACAGAGAGAGAGATCACAAGTAGGCAGAGAGGCAGGCAGAGAGAGAGGGCGAAGCAGGGTCCCTGCTGAGCAGAGAGCCTGATACAGGGCTCGATCCCAGGACCCTGAGACCATGACCTGATCCAAAGGCAGAGGCTCAACCCACTGAGCCACCCATGCACCCCAATAAAAGGCATTTTATTGACACTAGTAATTACACTGAGAATGTTGCCCCAAATATTTTTATTTAAACAACTGTTTAAAGTACATGTAAATAGGCTCAGGCTGAACACTCTTTCATTCTCTGTAACGGACACAGATATAGGCAATCTCCCAATTCTAGCTTACGGAGCATATGCAAGTGTTACAGCCATTGCAATGACAGGAAAGAAGACTAAACTGTGTCAGATGATGAACATATTTATTATAGGAAGTTAAATGAATATAGAGGAATATAAAATCATGTGTAAAATAAATACAGTGCTAGGTAAATATTTGAGAGTAAGTATGGCTTATAGTTATGTCTGTGGTGAAGCCAGACTGCCTGGTTTGGACACTGCCTCTCCACTAAGTGAACTGTGTGATCTGTGGTAAATGACTCAACTTTCCTAGGTTCCTCAATTTCCCCATCTATAAAATAATAATAATAATAATAATAATAATATGGCCTGACTTGATGGTTAAGTGGGTCGTACATGGATAATACTCAACAATACAAAGTGTCAGCTGTGGTATAAAATACTGGCAATGTTAAACAAAAAATATATCAAGGGGTGGGAATATGGGTGGTAGATTATTATTAACTTTACATCTCTTCAAATCTGTTGTATTTCCACACAAAACAAAAACAAACAAAACAGTTCTTGGAAAAATGATCTGGTTTTAATTATATTTATGTTTTGTGGTTCTTTTTATGAACTATGAGGGCCTAGGACTGTATGTTTCTTTGTTTCTTGTAAAATAATGTCCGATGAAAACAGTAACGGATTGGGAGAGAATGTTATGTTTTGCTTTTTTAAATAATTGGCAGATACTGAGTTCTTCCTGACCATGACTTTTTTAGGAAGGATGTGGAAGGGGTGAGGTGGCTTTTTCAAGCAA